CGGGGGGCGGCCGGGCGCACCGCCGTCCCTCGCGCCGCGCCCACCCGCCGGGGCCCTGGGACCATGGAGGACGTGAAGCTGGAGTTCCCCTCGCTCCCACAGTGCAAAGACGACGCCGAGGTGAGTGCCCGCCTCGCCGCAGGCCGCCCCCGGGACTCCGGCCGAGCCGCGACTCTGGCCCAACCGTCGTAGACGCTTTCCCTTTCCTCTGGGGGGCATCCGTGAGGTCCCGGTGGAGAACCCAACCTGGAGACTACCCCTGGCCTCTCGCCTCGGCAGTGAGCTTTTACTTGAAGACAGTCTCAGTTTTGTTGCCAAAGCAACACGCTGTGGAGTTGTTTTTAATCTGAGCTTGATGTTAGGTTCACACGCGGGACACATGGCCCCACGTGTGGAATAGACCGGAGGCGTGAACTCTGGAATTGCACGCTCTTAACAGTTAGTTCTCCAAGTCAAAAAAAATCAACCAAAAGAAAACCCACAAAAAAGTATGACAACAGAAAAAAAAAAGTCACAAAGCTAGCTTCTTTGAATTTTAAAACTTTTAATCACGAATCTTACCCTCGGAGGAAAGTTACTGTTGAGAGCAAAATACCTTTACCTTCTCCCGATTCTGTAATTCAGGGTTCTTTTTCACTCCACCTTGATTTTTTCTTTACCTAACATTTGCAGAGATTTCGCGCCCCCCCACCCCACCCCGTTGGATTTATTTTATGTTATAGACACAGTTAACTTGGAGTTCACTAGAGGCTGTTAGTAACAAGACAAAGATTCTTAACTGTGACACTTAATAGGCTCAAGAAAGGATTCTAGAGTTTTGTTTGTGTTTTGAAACAGGGTCAACAGAGCCCTGGCTGTCCTGGAACTCACTATATAGACCAGGCTGGCCTCGAACCCACAAAGATCCACCTGCCTCTACATCCCAAGTAATGGGATTAAACGTGTACACCCTTTAATCCCCCTAAGTGCTTTAAAGGTATTTGGAACTGGGCATGGCTGCAACACTCATGTATTTCCACGACCTGGGAAGTGGAAGCAGAAAGGTCAGGAGCATTCAAAGCAGCCTTGGTTGTATAGCAAGTTTGAGGCCGGTTGGAGTTACAGTGAGACCCTGTCTCAAAAAAAGGAATTGCTTTATTTTGGATTGAATTTATACCAAATACTCAGTTCTATTGAATGCCTCCATTTGATGTTCACTTTTTGGTGTTTGTTTTGTTGTGGTGGTGGTGGGTGTTTGTAGCCCTGGCTGTCCTGGGACACTGTTTGCAGCAGTCTGGCCTTAAAGAGGTCCACCTGTCTCAATCTCCTGAGAGATTTGTGTGCCACCAAACCTAGCTACTTTTTTAAAAATGATTTTTAATTTTAAAACAAGGTCTTGTGTAGCCAGGCTCACCTGAAATTTGCTGTATCCAAGGATGTCCTCTAACTCCTGATCTCCCAAGTAAATTACAGGCATTTGGAGTTTTCTCTCTCTTATTTGTAGTAGTGATGATTGAGACTTGAGTATATTTTAAGTTGAATCATAAAGAAGAATTTGCACTTTTTTTCTTTAACATACAGTAATGTGAATAAGGGCTATACTTTTTGTCTTCAATTAGCAATAATCTCAGTTCTGCAAGCAATTTCCCTTGTGATGGAATATGATGGAAGAAGAGAACCAACTCCCACACACAGCCTTCTGATCTCCACTCAGGCATTGTGTGTTGGAACACACACAGATTGAGGTTTACTTAGAATAAGAGTTATATAAGGCATACCATAGTACATAGTGAGTGACCTTGGAATCTTGACTCCTAGTTCTTTAGGCTTTTTAAATACCCTTAATTCTTCCCTCCCCTATTCTTAGTTCTAGTTTAATTTTTTTCATCTTTTATTGTGTTTATAGTATATTTATCCCCTGGGAGAAAAAAAACTATAACTTCTTACTGGGAATGATAGCTTTTATCCAATTAACAGCATCAATTTACTATTTCCCAGTGATATATGTAAGGCACCAAGAACATTTTCTTCCAATAGAAAACCAAAATTTCAAACCAAATCCTGCTTTGGTAAAAGTGAAATTCAAGAAGAGAGATTTTAAGTTCAGCGTGGTAGTGCACACTTTTAATCCCAGCAGTCTCTACTCTTGAAGCAGAGGCAGGCAGATTTCTACCAGTTTTGAGAGTGCCCTTGTCTACATGGTTCTAGTGAGTTCCAGGACAACCAGTGCTACATAGAGAAATGTGGGAAGGGATCTTAACTGCTTAACTTGGCTTAAGTTTAGGCAAAACTTATTTTTGTTTGTTTGTTTTGTTTTTTTGAGACAGGGTTTCTTTGTATAGCCTTGGCTGACCTGGAACTCACTCTGTAGACCAGACTGGCCTAGAGATGCTGCCTCTGCCTCCCAGGTGCTGGGATTAAAGGCGGGTACCACTACTACCACCACCACCTGGTTTAGGCAATACTTCTGAGAAGATTTTCCTGGTTTTTTGTCAACTCCTCTTACCCTTCTCTTTGCCTCCGGACCAGTTTAATTCCCCATACTACTACAGCTACAGCACTTGGTTCTTTTATACCTACCTTCATAGAAATTATTACAATTTTTGGTCATTGTCTCTTTTCATGATAGGCTGAACCTTCCATAATGGTATATGGTTGCATGAGGACTAGAGTTTGGGTCCCCAGAACTCACTAAAATCTAGGGAAGTGTGGTTGCTCCCTGTAATCTCAGCACATTGGAGGTAGAGAGATGGGATCCAGGGGCAGACTGGCTAGCAAGAGGAGCCAGAGTAGGAATTCCAAGTTCATCAAGAGACCCTACCTTAATAAATAATACAAAAAATCAGATTGGTGCACACCTTTAATCCTAACACTCAGGAGTCAGAGGCAGGCTGATGGTCTTATTGGTAGAGTGCCCAGATAGTATATGGTATCATATTACAAGAGACAAAAAATGGTGTGTGTGTGTGTGTGTGTGTGTGTGTGTGTGTGTGTGTGTGTGTGTGTATCTATCTGTATCTGTATCTGTCCTGTCCATATGTTTGTCTTGTCTGTCACAGTCATCTGGTCTGCCTCTTATGATATGGTCATGAGGCTTATGCTTAATAACATTATTTAAGCGTAATCACTTTTCACAGGCCCCTCCAGCACACTATAGTTGTATTGATTTTCCACCTTTTAACTTCCTAGATAAACATTTCAACATTTGGTCCTTGGGAAATACATTCAAACCATATCTGACATATCTGAAACAACTGTAGGGTTAGGATAAGACAGCTCTTGAAGATCAGGATCTGATGATGGCAACAGGAATAGTTGCAAATGAAATTTTCTCTGAACATTTCTAGGTTTCAAAGATTCATACTTATTACAGTGAGGCTTGATGTTCTTCAAATAAGGTTATCTATGTATGTGACCTGTGAATGGAAATAGTTTTCTATGCTCTTCCTGCTATACAATTTGCTTTTCACTCTTGTGATTTATATTATTATTAATAGCAACAGGTTCTCTTGGTAGCCCTGCTGTCCTGGAACTCACTGTGAACTCACCAGGCTGGCCACAAACTCAGAGTTCCACTTGCCTCTGCCTCCTAGATGCTGGAAATAAAGATATATGCCACCATACCCTCCTTTAATAACTTTTTTTAATATAAATATGGAGATGGTGTGTTATGGTCTATTGTCTACAAAGTTACACAGTTTGAAATGACTTTGAAATCTTGGTTTTGTTTAAAAATTGAGGCAAAGAGCCAGGCAGTGGTGGCTGCATATGCCTTTGAGTTCGAGGATCTCCCTGAGTTTGAGGCAGCCTGGTTGCTCTATCGAGGGAGTTACAGGACAGCCAGAACTACACAGAAAAACCTTGTCTTGAAAAACTAAAATAAAGAGAGAGGTAAAAATTTCATTTTATCATTTGTGTTCATTTTTTTTTTTTTTAACTTAATAGCTTAACGGTATTGAAAGCTATCTCTATACACCTAACTAAATCTTTTGGGAGGGGAAGTACTTGAAAGAAGTACTGTAGCTTTGAGTTCTTCTAGTTTCAGGAAAGTCCACCCCAAAATACTGTTTGACATACTAATTACTTTGATATATAAAAACAGCAGATGTAGAAGAGGCTTTCTGAATGCCCTTCAGTTACCTATAGATAGATCTTGCAAAAGGAATTTAGTTCCTTCTCAGGGAGTTTAGTAAATGACAGAAAAGTAACTTACAGAAGACAAGAAGTGGATACCACACCCAGACTTATCACAAGCTATCACCTGTTCTTCCAAGAGTCCATGCATATCTGTTTGTATTCTCTCTTAGGATGCGTATACACGCACGCACACCCACACCTTAAAGCTCTTACTGTCTTACCTCAGACTCCCAAGTGCTGTGATTGCAGGCAGGTGCCATCATGTTCAGTTTTATTCTCCTAAATATCACTTGTGTTGGATGTTTACCCTGTGCACATAATCAATTTGTGTGCCTTTCTCCTATTATTCTATTTATTGCCAGTTTATTTCATAGTCCCAATTTTTATCACACCCTAGAGCAGTAGTTCTGAATCTGGGGGTAACGACCCCTTTGGGGGAAGTCACATATCATATTTGCATTATAGTTCATAACAGTAGCAAAATTACAGTTGTGAAGTAGGAATGAAATAATTTTATGGTTGGGGTCACTGCAACATGAGGAACTGTATTAAAGGGTCACAGCATTAGGAAGGTGGAGAACCACTGTTGTAGAGGATAGAGAGGTCTTCCCTCCTACAAAAGTATCCCTCAGAACATCTGTACACCATTCCTATATATGTTCCTGTTTTGTTTCTTATTTATTTATTTTCCCTTTTTGGTTTTTCGAGACAGCATTTTTCTGGGTAGCCCTGGCTGTCCTGAAACTACCTTTGTAGACCAGGCTGGCCTTGAACTCACAGAGTTCCATCTGCCTCTGCCTCCTGAGTGCTGTGATTAAAGGTGTATGCCACAACCACCTTTAATCTGTTTTGTTTCTTTAACCACACACAATAGTTTTCATTTTTAGCAACTCGTTTATTTATTTATTCTTTCATTCATTCATATTTTGATTTTTTTTTCTTTGGTTTTTCGAGACAGGGTTTCTCTGTGTAGCTTTGTGCCTTTCCTGGAACTCACTGTCAGC